GGCAGCCTGGCTCGTTGTTGCCCTCTATTGGCATGCCAGGCATAGATGTTTCTGAGTTTGCTATTGTCTCTGAGCTAATAGACCTATTGTTTGTTTGTTTGTTTGTTTTGTTTTTTAAGCGCAACTAGTAGAGGTCATGCTTTCAGATCCAGAGGTTCCTGGGCTCAATCCAGCAGATGACCCAGCCAGGACCAACTGTGTGTGTGCAGGGGGGAAGGAGACCAGGCCTCAAGGGGCAGGAGAGTGGCTCTTTCAGGCACTCCTGGCAGTGCGTGGCAAAGCAGGATTCACACTGGGATGGTTTAGCATTGCTTTTCCAAAAAAAGAACAGGAGTACTTGTGGCACCTTAGAGACTAACAAATTTATTTGAGCATAAGCTTTCATGGGCTACAGCCCACTTCATCAGATGCATAGAATGGAACATACAGTAAGAAATATATATACATACAGAGAACATGAAAAGGTGGAAGTAGCCATAACAACTGTAAGAGGCTAATTAATTAAGATGAGGTATTATCAGCAGGAGAAAAAAAACTTTTGTAGTGATAATCAAGATGGCCCATTTTAGACAGTTGACAAGAAGGTGTGAGGATACTTAACATGGCAAAATAGATTCAATATGTGTAATGACCCAGCCACTCCCAGTCTCTATTGCTTTTCAGTTGCTCATTCACTGACTCTTAACAAGAAGAGGTGACTCGACCACAGTGTAGAAGTATTTACATGGGGAGGAGGTTGCTGAGAGCAGAGAGCTCTTCAATCTAGCAGGCAAAAGCAGAAAAGGATCCAATGGCTGGAAGCTGAAGAAATTTAGATTGTAACTAAAAAGGAGCATATCTTTAACAGTCTGAGTAATAACCACTGGAACAAGTCACCTAGGGATGGGATGGATTCCCCATCACTTGGAGTCTGTGCATCAAGCCTGGGTGTTCACTGTCTAGCACAGCCTAAAGTTCTGGGCTGAGTGCAGGAATCACTGTGTGTAAGTCGCTGGTCTGTGTTGTACAGGAGGTGAGACTAGATGATCTACTGGTCCCTGCTGGCCCTAACATATGTGACGCTCTCTGCACCCCAGGTAGGAAGCTCCTTCGTCCTGTGCCTGCAACTGGAATCTCATGCACTGACACTCCACACTGGGATTGCACATGGCGAATGAACAGCATCTCCATGCAGTGCCTTTCTGCTTTGAAATCTGCTTTAGCATTGTAAACCGGAGGAGGGCTCCTGCTGGTCCTTTTCCACCAGCACCACCAGGCCACTTCCACTACTGTGACCCAGGGACCTCTTGATGTCAATTGGCAGAGGAGATAGGGATGCATCAGGGTCACAGGGTCCCGTGGGTCTGGTATTTACATATTAATTTACAGAAGAGTGTCAGGTAAGGAGGTTTCTGCTGAAAGTCTGTGTCGCACTGGTTACCGTCATCATTGCAAAGTGTATGTGCAGATAATACATACAGAGATGTGTGTATATATATAGAACATTATGGTCTTAAAGCCTGGTAGTAAAAGGTAGGCCACGGAGAGGTACATGCCTTGAGACAAGTTCCACCAGACACCAGGTGGGAGGCAGGTATCTCCCTGTCCCTGCTGACCATTGTGTATTGTGAGTCTTACCATAGGAATTGATTTGCATCCTGAATCAAATGCTAATGAGGGGATTGTGGGGATGTCAGGAGAAGAAATGTACAGAAAGAGGTGACCTGTGGGGTGGGGGGAGTGGGAGACCCTTGTTACAGGTGAACAACAAAGGACTGGTCTAATATATCTAGGGGTGCAGAGCAGGGCGGGTGCAAGGAAGTTTCGCACCATAGGTGGAACTTCCACCTTGCGCCCCCAGCCCTGCGGCAGCTCCCCGGCCCCCCTCCACCTTGAGGTGCCCCCCCCGCAGCAGCTCCC